ATTCGGTGAAAGATGGAATGTTCCATTCAACTCGGCTGTCGCCTCGTTGAATGGAACATTCCATCTTTCACCGAATGAAAATATTCTTACCATTGCACGAAGAAACATTCATTATTTGTATAGTAATCAATGGATGAATGCAGCTACAGTATAGACTAAATTCTGATCCAGGAAAGAAGAACAAAATCCATCATCACAGTTAGAAAGAGCATGTTAAAATTAGTAAAATTGCAAAGTTTGGTTGCGAAATGTTGTAAAATGAGGAAAATATAGCCCTTACGAAATTTGCAAATTTTGTATTAATTTGTATTACGCGCGGGAAAATGCACCACTTTCGGCCCAAATGTGGTGCATTTTCCCGCGCGTAATACAAATTAATACAAAATTTGCAAATTTCGCAGGGCTATATTTTCCGCATTTTACAACATTTCGCGGCCAAAGTTTGCAATCTTATTAATTTTAACATGCTCTTTCTAGCTGTGGTGATGGATTTTGTTCTTCTTGCCTAGATCAAAATTTAGTCTATAACTGGAATTGCCTATATTCTTACTAAATACTTCATGCACGTGATCTGGGGCGTCTGAAAGATAAACTCCAAAAATTTCCAAATCGTGCAGCCCGAATTACTGTATATAGCTGGCGCTAGCGACGAGACCAGTTCTGCTGATATTCTTCGATCTCTTACTTGCGATAATTTAGAAACAAGGCGATGTACAACTAAATCAATACTATTGTACAAAGTCTTGAATACAGGACCTAATTTGAAAGAGTCCTTGATAAGACACAATCAGATGTAAACTAATAGACAATTCCCATTATAGACTAATTTTAAAACTTGGCAAGGAGATGCAAATAAATCACCACAGCTAGAAAGAGCATACTAAAATTAGTAAAATTACAAAATTTAGTTGCGAAATGTTGTAAAATGTGGAAATTATAGCCTTGCAAAGTTTGCAAATTTTGTATACTTTTGTATTGCGTGCGACATTTTCGGCCTAAATGTGGTAGGAATGTGGTAGGAATTTCCGCAAGCAATACAAAAGTATACAAAATTTGCAAACTTTGCAAGGCTATATTTTTCACATTTTACAACATTTCGCAACCAAACTTTGTAATTTTACTAATTTTAGTATGCTCTTTCTAGCTGTGGTGATTTATTTGAGTTTCCTTACCTAATTTTAAAATTAGTCTATAATGGGAATTGTCTATTATGACCCGCTTAGAAATGGTCACACTGATTCAGCCCTTGCGAAGCCTATAGAACAGTAAAAGTGAATTCCTCAAAAAGAGCATCAAGTATAGTGGGGCTAAACAATGGAATAGTCTCTCCACTGATACAAATCTGGCAGAGTTGATTTATTCATTCAAAAATTATTTGAAACATAATTACAATAACACAATGGACGACTTGCACTTTAGAAAAATTTTTAATCTGGGAATATAACAAAGGATATTTTCGGAAAGAAGTTATCAAAATTAGAAAAACTGCAAAGTTTGGTTGCGAAATGTTGTAAAATACGGAAAATATAGCCCTGCGAAGTTGGCAAATTTGTATACATTTCTATTACGTGCGGAAATTGGTAACTAATTTAGTTACCAATTCACGCACGTAATACAAAAGTATACAAATTTGCCAACTTTGAAGGGCTATATTTTCCGTATTTTACAACATTTCGCAACCAAACTTTGTAATATTACTAATTCTACGACGCTCTTTCTCGCTATGGTGATAAATTTCGTTGTTCTTACTTAGATTAAAATTTAGTCTAAAGCGCAAGTCGTCCATTCATTGAAACATATTCTGTAATAAACATGCAGGGTTACAGTACATGCACCATGATTTACTAACTAATGCTCACCCAGTATTATGATCAAAAGATGAAGAAACTCGCCAGCTAATGCGAGCTCTTGATTTATCCTGATCTAAAACAATATAATTTCGGGTTATTTGAAGTCACAAGTCTCACAACCTCCGAAATATAATTACTGATATGAAACACACCTCGTCACTCTTATCGACATTGTAGCTTGATCTACGAGAGAAAATAATACGAGAGCGATTAAAAGACAATTTTTTGTCTAATATTTCGTGTATTTGCGAAGAGAAGCATTCAAAACATAAACTCTTTTTGGCGTTCCTCTCAAAAGTACTTTGTTTTAGCTTTATTTTGTACTTTACACCATTAGCAAACTTTTTAAATGTATCTGGCGGTTGAGAACCACAAAATAATAGTTAAGTATTGTCAATTTACATACAATTATCATTGAAGCTGTAAAATTGACGCCGTATTTATACAGCAATATAAGAAAACTTACTGAACTTCAAAGTTCAAACATCATTTTCTGTTTGGCGTACCATCTAAAATCTCGTCATCTTAGCATAATTTTACAGATAAAGCGCTGAACATACTTTTTAAGTTTGTTTGCCACTTGTGAAACGAAAAAAAATTTAAAAATTGAATATAGTCCTAACCATGCAAGTGAAAAAGTATATATTCATTAGTTCTGAGCGCGCGTTACGTAACATACAAAAGATTCTCCTCTTGACTTAAGAGAAATACATCATCTAATACAGGCAATAGAACATTTTTACGGCTATTTAAATATCTCAAACTCATTAATAATTCATGAGTAAATTAGCCAACCATACTGCTTTATTTTGCTCACACGATAATACTGGATACCTGTTGAAGTATATTGATTATTATTATTATTATCATTATCATTATCATTATCATCATTATTATTATTATTATTATTATTATTATTATCATTATCATTATCATTATTATTATTATTATTATTAATGGTTTATTTGCATATTATCGCATTGAAAATGAATTACGATATGCTGCTTATACATGGAAATATACTAAAATTTACAAAAATATACTAAAATATGAATTACTATATATCTAATATAAATGTTAAAACCTAATATAAAAGTTAAGACCATAAAGGCCTATACGTCAACTTGACTATAGCACATTGCCGGGATAAAACTGTTCTTAAAACCTCTCAGTTCTACATTTGGGAAGCGATAATTGATTATTATTTCTCAAACTCTGTCCATGATGGACGTTTCCGCGAATTGACGGCAACAAGTGGTACAGTTTCGAGCAAGGCTTAGCAATCTTTTGTAAGGTATTCTGACAATCTTTTGTAAGGTATTCTGACATTGATCCAGTCTTGGGATCGGATCAAAATTAATTCAGTCCTTGAACTGGATAAAAATTAATTAAGTAGTAATTTATTCGCATGAGATGTCCGATTCAAATCCTCCAATTCGGACTGGACTAGATTTCCAGTCCTCGCATTTTGATCCAATTGCGAGGACTTGAAATCTAGTCCAGTCCTCATAGTCGGAATTGAAATATTGTACAAAATTAAAAAATAGGAGGTTAAATATACATACGATGACCAAGGCAGCAGTTTAAACATTTCTAAAACAACATGGAGAAAGTAGTCTTTGTCCATACAGGATAATAAAACCTGAAAGAATATAGAAAACAATTACTAAAATAATATCCGGAACAGTATAAAAATGAGAGAATTTATAATTCGTAAGAGAATAAGTACTTAAAACGCGAGCAGTAATGCTTTATCAGATATAAAAACGAGGCGACATTCGAGTGTCTTATATCTGATAAAGCACGAACTGCGGGTGTTTTAAATGGCTCAAAAACAACGATCCATCTGATGAATTCACTGGCGAAGTAATTTTAAAAAGCAACGTTAATTGTCAAAGCCGAGAAAATCAAAGCTAAAAGTTGATGTGAATTAACATGATTTTTTATCACATATAAACCCAATCTCCATAGGGTCCTAACGGTCGTAAAGATTGAGTCACGATATTTCTCATCAGCCGAAATACAACATTTTAGAACTGAAAATACGCGGAGTGATTTTTCGGTGTGGATATACACTCAGTGTGTATATCCACACCGCGGACAATAACTCCGCGTATTGTATATCCACACCGGACGATCACCCCACTCCGGTGTGGATATACACTCAGTAGTTACTCTGAGTTGTATATCCACTTGTGTGGATATACGCTCAGTTACTCTGAGTGTATATCCGTATGTATATCCACCAATCACCCCACTCCGGTGTGTATATATATACACTCACTCAGAGTATAACATCACAAACATCATATTCACTTGAATACATATTAGCACCAACACAGAAAAAAAACTAGAGAATACTTATGATTTATGTGGTTAACAGGTATAAACTATTATAAGTTATAAACTGGCCGTTGAGAAAGATCGTGACTCGAACATTACGACCAGATGGAAACCAGATTTTAAACCACAAACACGCGGTCGTGATTTCCTTTGTCTTTTGCTCATGAACGATTAATTAGTTTTAAAATCAGATTTAAACCAAACCTGCATTAAAAAGATGTCCTTGTCATACATTTCCGATGCAGTATTATCCTTGCGATAAGCATGCACCTGGAAAGAAGCGAATTTCGTTAAGATAATATATAGTTATTAATAAACGAAACAGCCCAGCTAGGTTTTCAGTCAAGTGGAATAAAGTTTCCAAATGAAGGCTTTATTCCACCTAACTGCAGGTGTAGACATTTTTCCGATTTTGACCTATAATTAACAATTATACCATGAGCTCGAGTCGCATATGAGCTGATAGCCGACGAGGTGCGTAACACCGAGTCGGCTATCAGCCATATACGACGAGAGCGACTGGTATAATTGTTTTATAATATAGTCTAATAGCCATTAACTGAAGCAATAATTAATCATCCTCTGTTACAATGCCTTGACAATTTGTTCGGCCAAAAATCGCTTGGCCTTGAATCAAAATTTGAAATACTTTTGTTTTACAACTCGAAGACGAAGTGAAAGAAATGGTTTTAGAACCAGTATATCTCACAGAAAAGCTCAGATATATTATACAGATGTTTGGTAGTATAGTAAGTGCTTGTTGACTGGAAATTCATTTGTCTTTCGTTGCAAACTTTTCTGAACAATTTATATTCTCAATGAACATGTTTTTTTCGCTGTTGTTTCGGTACTAATTCTTTAAAAAACTTGTATATTTAAACTAATTTCTACGTAATAAATGTATTTTGCTAACCTGTCAAATTTTTTTGAGAGTTTTTCCTTGTACTATTATCTTTCTCAAAGCGAATATTTTCCTTTTTTCTGCTTCGCAAAACTCGTGTAGTTTTTGGACAGCCATCTTGTTTTTCGCTACTCGCCGTATATGAGCTGATATACGGCGAGTAATTCAACCAATCAGATTGCAGAACAGCTCATATACGATGAATGACTATATTATAATATAGCATTCGACGGCATCGTTGGAAAATACAAACAAAAAATAAGCCTTAATATAGCCCTAAACAGACACTAATTTTTTGTATAGGTAATAGTATGGTTCCGAGTGCAATTTGGAAAAGAAACATTCACGAGTGAGTTTTTCAAAGACTATCAAAATGGACGTCCTATTACCTAACAACCAAAATTTCGATCTCAACAAGTCTAGACAAACATTTCATCACAGCTTGAAAGAGCATCACAAAACTAGTAATATTGCGAAGTTTCGTTGCGAAATGTTGTAAAATGCGGATAATATAGCCCCGCAAAGTTTGCCGTTTTTCAGTCATTTTGTATTACGCACGGGAAATTGGTACCGCTTTCTGAAAAAAGGTATCAATTTCCCGCGCGTAA